TTATGTTCCTTTAGACAATTTTACAATAATCTAGCGGATAGGACTTTTTTCGAGTAAAAATTTAATTTGCTTGGTCTACATTATTGCACGTTACAAGTATGACGGACCATCGTGGTCAGTATATATTTATCAATAATTATGTTCCGGTTAGTGACGCTGATAGCATACCTAAAAGAATATGATGAGGGGCATGTTATCTAACTCGAACTGGAAAATTTTCGATCATGTGAATGAGAATGTTTACAATTTGGCAGCGGCCTTGGTAAATGTCGTTGATGATGCGGTTCAGAAGTCATTCCCGGTAAAAAAATTAATGTAAATAAAAAGAACTTACTGGTTTAATGCTAATTTAAAGGCAGCCAGGAAAACATTGTCTCAGGTTAAGTTGGAGTGTGATGTAACACGTAGTGCTGACGATATTGCTGTTTAAAAAAGGATTATAAGAATCTTATCAAAAAAAACAAAAAGACAAGCATACGACCGTTTTAGCAGACAGCGTTATTAAATCGCACTCTGTTACACCTGACTATTGGGAAAATTTTCCTTCATCTTCTTTTTCGTTTGGTTTGTTCCCGGTTGAAATCGACGAAGTTTCTAATGCCATTAAGAGTCTAAAGCGCTAAACAGCTTAGATGTTCTAGACCTAAATAGCCTTATTGTTATAGAAACTTTTGACTTAATTGTGCAACCTTTTACCATTTTAATTAACTTAATGTTCACTTTCATTTCCTGATATATTTAAATTTAGTCGAGTTAATCCCACTTTTAAAAAAGGCGATCGACATATAATTGATAATTATCGCCCGATTTCGATTATATCTTACTTTGATAAAATAATAGAAATAATTTTGAAAAATAGACTCCAGTTATTTTGAATCGAACTGTTTTTTGTTAAATAAATCAGTATGGCTTCCGCCGTGGTAGATCTACCACACAGACCTTATAGAAAATTGTTGAATACATAGTAATGGGACTAGAAAGTGGAGAACACGTAGCTGTTACGTTGTGTGACTTGACTAAGGCATTTGACTATGTCTCTCACAGCTTACTACTGCGGAAGATAAGTTGCTATGGTGTTAGAGGTTGCGCCCTCAATATGTTCTCAAGTTTTTTGAAAAACAGACGTCAGTGTGTTACAGTTAATGGCAATACTTCCAAATTTAATCGTATTGACCACGGTATTCCGCAGGGTTCTGTTTTGGGGCCCTTGCTTTTCGCAATATATCTTAATGACTTTTGCTTTCCTATCGCACCAATAAGTGTGTACTATTCGCAGATGACACCACCCTAATTAATATGAATGAATTCCTCATGTCTAATTGAAGATTCATCTAACATGTTATCTAAAGTCATAAATTGGTTTTCGTTTAACAATCTTAAAATTAATAGAGATAAATCCCAGAATATAACGCTAGCCACCACACCAGGGCATGTAGAACATAAATATGTTAAAATCTTTGGTATTACAATTGATGATAAATTGACTTGGTCTGACCATGTTGGGTCCATAAATAAGAGGTTGTCTGGAGTAATTTTTTTGTTAAGGCAACTGAGAGATACTGATACTTTAAGATAAGTTTATTTTTCCCTCTTTAATTCCATCTTGTCTTATGGTATTGTGCTATGGGGGGGCTGCTCTAGCGCTTTAAAAACCTTTAGAATCCAAAAAAGCCATTCGTATTATGGCCAACGTAGATTATAGAGATCACTGTCACTAACTTTTTGTGAACCTTGCAATTATGCCCTTGCCATCGCTATTTGTTTATTACTGTTTATTGGATATTCATAAGAATATTGCCAGTTACACGGTTCAATCGGATATACATAACTACTGTACTCGTACTTCTAAATTCTTGCGGCTACCTAGATATCGCTTAGCACAGACTGCGAGAAATTCCTTAAATTTAAACATGTACAATGTCCTCCCATGACATGTAAAATCACTATGTTCTGTCAAATTTAAGTTTATTTTATTTTATTTTATTTTTATTTTATAAGAAAGAAACAAACAGGTTATAGAAACCTAATTACATGTTTCTAATTATTATAAACTAACTGTACAATTGTGTATAAAGAATTATTTGTTAAAATGTTTTTATTCCGTTAGTGACTTTATGGATAGCGTTCATGACTTTTATTGATTGCTTTCACTCTGACGTTTATTATGTTACAAAGTAAATTTTATTGTTAGGTCAATGTGTATTTTAATTAGTCTAGAGCCTTGGTTGTATTTTCTTAAATTGTTGTTTTTATGATTGTATGTTTCTTTGACTTGCTACCATAATATGTTATGTATTAATGTAGACCAATAAATATTCTATTCTATTCTATTCTATTCTATTCTATTCTATTCTATTCTATTCTATTCTATTCTATTCTATTCTATTCTATTCTATTCTATTCTATTCTATTCTATTCTATTCCATTCTATTCTATGTAATTATAGATAACAATTTAACTATCCGTTTATTTAACCAAATATTAATCGAGATTTAATATGTATATTGTCTTTAATTATTGTAATTAAGTTACTGTATGTAAATACAATTTTCACTAGAATAACCAAATAAACTGATACTTGTCCAACTCCAAAGCATACCATACGCCATACTGCCATCCACCACGCCAAGGTCACGAGATAACTTAATGGGACGATGGGAACAGACAAAGACAATGCATCTGGATATGAAAAAGGGTGGAATCACTCAGTAATGAGGACAGTTACTCTGGTTTAGATGCAAGTACACCATATACGAGTTTACGTGAAGAATTTATTTATGTGAAAATGAGTGAAAGTACTCAGTTTTAGTTTAAATATAAACACAAATGAGTAAAATGATCTTTAATATCCAATATTGAGCGAAAATATACTCAATAATTTTACTCAATGGATCCACTCTGAACCTTTATTGCTTTCACTTACACCGATTTTTTTTTACAGTGTATAGGCCTTGAAAGTGGAGTTTCAAATTTCGAAAAAAAATTAATCTGGTATAAGTATCTGTTATACTTAGTCCTCTTAAATATTTTAGCATTGCCAGTAATCTGTCGTAGTACTACGCATAGAAGTAACCTGTAGTAAGACTATGAATAGCAGTTATCTGTAGTAGTAGCGAATAGAAGTAACCTGTAGAAATACCTACAAGAGTAGCTGTTATCTGCTGCAAGGACTTAAGACTACACAAGGAGTGAGGATGTAAGTTATTTTTAAATTAGTATAGCCGAGTCTTCTACTGAGGCGGAGGAACAAATAAATTGAGACATCCACCCAGTAAAATCCCTAGTGGCGCCTTGTAAATAAATAAACATTTTGTCTCTGTTGAACTTTATTAATCCAGGAAGAAGCGGAAGCTGTTAAAGTTCCAACTCCTAAATCGGTTAATAAAATAGGGCAGTAAGCATCCGAGGGCTTGTATAGCCCAACCCTCTGTTGTTTACTTAGTAACGGAGTACTATAACGAACAGTGCAAAATGTCGTGTTGGAATAGATGGAGCTTATCTTGCAATAGATCTACCTGAATCTACCTCTTCGGGCAGTTTTAGAGGGATCGAGGTAGAGCTCGGTTGAAATCATCTGCGTATGCACATCAACGTCTGAGAAATTACTTTTAAGACTGCGGAAAATAAACGATGACCTTAACACTTGGAAGTGGAAAATTTTGCTCCGAGAAAAATTCAGTCCTGGACAGACTTTGACATTATATGTGGACAAAAAGTTCAAGTGTTGAAAAGACTCATCATCGGTTTCTCTTTAGATTTGGACAGTTGCTTCGTCCAAAGAGTAAAAGGCGGAAGAGGAAGGAAGATATAAAGCAGACCGGAGAAGAAGAAAGAGGCTGCTCTACAGTCAGGGTTAGGACGAAGTACCCTCCATCATCAGTAAGAAAAAAGATGAGAGAAGACGAAGAGAGAAAAGAAGAAGACTTACCTCACAAAGATAAGAGAAGAAGAGAGAACCTCCCCGTTGAAGCAGAGAGAAGAGGAAAGAACCTCTCTCGCAAAGAAAAGAGCAAAAAAAATCTTCCTCAATCCCTGGAACTTCGCGGGCAAAAATCGCTGTAGTTACATAAGAGAAGAAAAAACTGCTTTCATAAAACAATACAGAGAAAACAATATCAATCATCAGGAATCAATTATCTATGACCAATCATCATCATCTCGTTTGCATTTAAAATTTTCTTTGGACAACATGGACTATTCAACGTATACTTCTACTTCTACTTCTAGTGGTTGGTCCTAATAAGTCTCATAGCACTGCGGCCTGATTAGGCCTATTGTGCGTCCCACTACTAGTTCTATTCAGCAAGTAGATTTGTCCTTTTTACAAAGTCCAAAAGCTTCCTCGCTGACACTTCTCTCAGTTCCTTGGGTTCCAAGTAGGGTCTCCCAAGGAGCGTCATTCTGCTACGTGCAAATCCCGGGCACTCGCCTAGGATATGCCGAGAAGTTTCATCCGCCGATTCACATCCTCGGCAGACCGGACTGTCTACAAGCTTAAGCTTATGTAGATGTTTCCTAAAGTGACAGAGTCCCGTTCAACATATACTTAAGTGATAATATAAACACATTCTCTGAATTTTCAATTGCGGCTCTATAGTTTCATTTGTAATTAATTCATAAAATTGAGCCAATACTTTACAATTCTCTGCAAATCAATTTATTTTTTTAAATTAATCGTTGTTGATGTATAAAAATAAAACACTGTTAACTTTATTTTAAGCTATATTATTAAGCCATATTATTTTATCTATCCAATCTACATATTTCGACACCCTAGTATATACTCCAAAATGATTTTCTCCGCAGCCTACTCCAAATGATGTAATACCCACGATAAAATAGGTTTCGTTGATTTTAATCTGAAGTGGTCCTCCAGAATCACCCTAAAATATATTTTTTAATGTAGTTAATATATCCACCAATTAATATTTTCTTATTATTACCATTTTAGGATATCATTTATATGTATAACTAGCTTTATGTCATCCTGAACTATAAATACTGTTTTTATTTTATCGTAAGCCGTATATTCTGTTTAACAGTAATCAGCCTATTTTGATAAAAATGTTCGTTTGCCGATATATAATAACTCTGATTTTAATAAAGCTTGTTGCTGCTGTTGTAAAAACAGACGCGCATATTAGTAATCATTAAAGAATAAAAATTAACAAAATTTATTAGTTTATTCTTTCTCTTTTGGACAAAAGCAGATTCAGTATAACATAAAACGTTGTACAATATTCGACCGTTGCATTATAAACCCCATATAAGGGTCTGATAATACAAGACTATAATAATACACAGTTCTAATTGTATGTAAAATCTAGTGTATAAATACTCGTATTTTACATACATTTACGAAATATGAATAAAATTTTATTTCGTTGACAAATTTAAATCTGTTTAGTTACAATTCAGAAAAAACGGAAAAAATTGAATAAGCCCTTTTTTCAGGGTTTTCCATAAAATTTAAAAAAATGGAAAGCAAGAAACTCGACAATTTTCGAAATATTTTTCCAGTATTACAGTAGTTGCTAAAGGTTTTGAAATGGCAGTAATTCCGAAGTGCTCAATTTTTTGCACGTGACTAATATTTTGCTAGTAAATGAGGAAAAAGAATTAATTTGCACAGGAGCGGACCGAGAAAATTCGGGAAATGACCGGAAAACACCAAAAACTATATTTCGTGAATAACTTGAAAAGCATTGAGAATTTCACAAACATACAAAGGACCAGAGTAATCCTGTAAAAAATATTCCTATTGATTTTTTGCACAGTGCGTTATTTAGGAGACATTTAAGGATTTACATAAAATGACGATTATTATGCAAATCGGCCAGAAAAATACGTTTCAAATTTCAAAGCGGCGCTGCACTAAATGTGCTACTACTTTTTCGTTTTTTTTGCTGAAAGTGCATGAAACAAAGGTGAAGCTTCAAAGTTTCCTTCTATGTGCTATTTTACTTAACATATTTCCCGATCTATGGAAATCTGCCAGTGTCTGTTCTATATTAAAGAATGGTGATTCTACTCACAGAATTAATTATAGACCTATAACTTTACTTTGCAATTTCGCCAAAGTTTTCGAGATGTCTTTGTATAACCGCATCTATCCTCTTATTCGTTCATTTGTTTCTATAGACCAGCATGGTTTTATGAATAAGCGTTCTACTAATACGAACTTGATTTGTTTACTCAATATTTATTTAATATTATCGACTAGCAATTTGGTGTACACTGATTTTTCGAAGGCATTCGACAGAGTTGACCATAAGCTACTGTTGGTGAAGTTGGAGAAACATGGTTTTTCTGCGACTTTGATTAAATTATTCGCTTCTTATTTGTTAAATCGCACAAAATATGTTAAATTTAATGGTGTCAAATCTGACACCTACGTGTCTACATCAGGAGTTCCGCAAGGCTCCAACCTAGGCCCATTGCTTTTTTTATTTTTATCAATGATTTGAGCTCACTGATTACATGTGATAAGTTATTTTTCGCTGACGATTTGAAAATATTTTCGGCTGTCGAATCAAAAGATGATTGTGACTGTTTGCAAATGAATTTGGAAAAATTAACTCACTGGTGCGTGTCAAATTACCTAAACATCTCCAAATATTCTCACGAAAATTCAGTGTAATTATTTATGACTACCGAATTGACTGCAATTTTGACACGAGTAGATGAAGTTAAAGATCTGAGAATGCTTTTCGACAATAAACATGATGTTTCCTCACATATTGAGCTGACTGACTCATCCATGAGGATGTTGGGTTTTATCTTTAGAATGGGTCAAGAGTTCCGTGACAACAATGTTTTGATTAAACTGTATCAATCATAATATGTTCGATCCAAATTGAAATACTGCTCGTTAATGTGGAACCCCATGTGTGTATGTTACATTTAGTAGAGCCAAGATAGATTTTGACTTCGCGAAAATTACTGGAAGAGAGAACTTTTTATTTTTCGCTTTGTAAAGTCATCAGAAACAACATATAAAATAATTTTTTATGCATTTACAAATGTAAAGTTTTGTTTGAAATGGTTGACTTTACAGATATTAGCAAGGTATAACTTGTTTTAAGCAGAAAAGTTGGAGGAAAACATTTTTCCAGCCCAAAGTAAAATACACGGTGGCAAAAAAACGTTTTGGCAGTCTACATGCGTCCTAAAATACAACGAAATCGTCGATAAATTCGAATTTCTCATCCCAAAAAAACCCCGATACGAAATTTCACGAGATTAGCTCGAAATAGTCGAAAGATATTAAAGAAAATGTTATTTATTTTTTCAACCTCAACTCCTGTATTCTACCAACGAAGCACCTTATGCAAAAATTTTATATAAAATACCCCTATTAATTTTAAGTGTTCTATATGCTGGCGAAGTTTGTAACCTGATTTTTGTTACACCTTGTATATACAGGATGTCCCAGTACTTGATACAAAAAAGTCGAGTAGAAATAGATGAGGTCAAAATTATATTAGTTCTTCATATATATTTTTTTCATATGGGCCTTCGTCAACAAGTTACGGCCCTGAAAGATGAAAATTAAAGTTATTTTTATTTACAATCTCTAAACTTCAAAAATTAACTTCAGCATGATGCAAATTTGGTGTCAAATTTTGTTAGTGAAAATTACATTGGCAGATAGTACGATTTTCTAGGCTCTTATTTTAAAAATTTGTACGCTTTTAACAGTGTAATTACGTCCAATTAAAAATTAAAAACAAAAAATGGTGGAGGCGCCGCTAGATGTACACTGTAACATATAATCACAAATATTTCCTAAACTGTTAATTTTACCGAGTTGAGCTAAGAGGGTATTTATCATTGACAAATTCTTCAGGAAACTTATTTTTGATACAGGCAGATTGAAATCGTCATCTGTGCAAAAATTCTGGGTGTTAACCATTGGGCATAGTCCGTCCCTGGCGTTCTAGGCATAATGAAGTTTCACTTACAACATCAAAAAGAGGCTGTACGCATGTGTTATCGATCACAAATTTTCATCATGCTGAAGTTAATAATAATTTAGAGACTGTAAATAAAAATAACTTTTTAATTTTCACCTTTGAGGGCCCGTAACTTGTTAACGAAGACCAGTATGAAAAAAATGTATATGAAGAACTGATATTATTTCAACTTCATCTATTTGTACTCAACTTGTTTGTATGAAGTACCGGGATATCCTTTATATAATATAGTACACGGATGTATTCTTCTAAGCTTGTTCTTTACGAATATGACATAAAAAATCATAATAACTCTATTTTCATTCAATATTTTCAAAAATTTGACAAACACCCGAAAGAAGATACATGGATGAAAACACCCGTAATACAGATTACCGGAGAAGAATATAATTTAATAGTATAGGAAATTGTAGCTCAGAACCTGCTCTTTCCATCTATTATACAGGTGTTCTACTTAGATATTTGAGTAACGAACTCCCGATGAGAAAAGGTGTCAGTAATTCAACGTCACCTGAAATGCTGTCATCAATTTTGACAATAAGATCAGACATAAAATGTGTTGCAGAATTTATTAGTAACCTGATAGTGCCCTGCAGCGTTAAATATGCTTAAAAATTAATTATGTGGGCGTCGCGGGGTTACAAGCTGAATTATGCATAAAATTGAAGCTTATATCTTACTGAATCAGAATCCGAAGGTAATAAAAAAATAACGCGGGCAGAAGGGCAGTAAAATCAAAAAACGAGTTATCACCACGGGCGGATAATACAGTATATTGTATAATTCTATAATTCTATATAAAAATCAACTTATATTTTGTACAGCATATATTTTTTATCAATTTTTGAAAGTTGCTCTTAACGTTGAGTCTTATGGCAGAATAAATTTTTAAACTTGAATATCTCGGTTCGAACACGTCGAAAATCTTACTGAAATTCAACATTTTTTTAGTTCCCACGCTATTTACCGGAAAACGGAGGCTTTAATTGAAAAATTTTACTCTTGCAAAAAGTTTCTGTCACCAATTTGAAAGACAACAGCGTATAACTCAGAATTTTTGCTTCAATAATAAACAAGATATGAATAAAAATACAGAACAAGTCATTTTTCGAAAGGCCGGCGGACGGCTGGCTGCTTCGCGTCCCCACTCCGCCACAATCGCATCTGTCTCACAAATCTCCATAGCTCCATTTCGTATTACTTCGATACGTACGAGTCAGTAGTGATAACCCTACTACATACAAATTTTAAAAATATATGCAAAATTAGTAAAATAAATCATGTCTCACTTCTACAGATTTAAAATACGATATTTTAATAATTAGATTTAAAAGTTAATAAATATATACAGGGTGTCCCGTTCATGTTCAACTTGTGTGCAAGTTCCTCATGGAAAAACAATAAGGATAGTTCATGTAAAGTTTTTTTCTTAGACGCCCTGTTTTCGAGATACAGTGTGTTGAAGTTGTTACTTTCCGAATGGTTTTTTTTAATTATCTTTAAATCGGCTAAAGATAAAAATATCAAAATTTGTAGACGAATAAATATCTACTGTGCGTTAACAATAATAATGTGCAAGCTGTTTCTTTCTGAAAAGAAGTGTCGCCAATACAGGTAATTGCAGGGGTATCTACAATAGAAAAAAAAATATGTTAAAAGAGAATATTTATTACATTTCTAAACGGTTCTGTAAACTCACATGAACTACTCCTATTATTTTCCCATGAGGAACTTGCACACAAGTTTTTTTTGAAACATGAACCGGAGACCCTGTATATAAAATACATATATAAAAAAGGTCCTTTTTATTAACAATTAGGAACATGACTAACAGATAAAAAACACTATTTATCCAAGTCACGTTTCTCATCGAACTTTTTGCAAGATTTTGAGCCATGTTTTTACAGGACCAAATTCAACCCATATTACTTTTCTTGTAAATGCAAACCTTGCTTCCACAATCTAAGGAAAATTTAAATTTTATTACTAGAAAAATGGTTGCTACTTATTATCTTACCTTTTTGCATCCACATGAAGAACGTTCAAATGTCTTTATCAATTTTTCTATCCACAGTCGGCAATACAAAGCAATTTTGGACAGAGTTCTAAACAATTGACTGATAATAGGTCCTCAAATAATGGAATCGCAAAGTATCTTCAGTCGGAAGCAGATTTGCAATTGTTGAAGACGATGCTAACAAACCTCTTAAAGTGTTTACTGACGTAATATTATGATTTTTTAATATAGTTTTATAATAATGATCTGAATATCCTCGAACATATTTTCTGAAAAATCATCCGTACCAATTCCATTTAAGTGTTTGTGGTTTACCCAATTGTTTTCCCAATTTTTTTATTCTATTCTGTCATTAGGCAATTCACATGATATTTTACCTCCATTGCTATTAAATCATTGGAGCCAATTCTTTCTAAAACTTCTGAAGAGATCGATGCAATGTTTTTACTTTAGTTTCTATATTTTTAGACATAACTTGGGATAATCTCTTCCCAAGAGATAGCTTCTAGCAAAATACACATTTATTTATGTGAAAGCCACCCTTACGAAGTGATCTACCAGGAAGTGGTGGAGGTTCAATACCAGCTACTCTGTACTCTTTCAGTCTTTCCACTCTTTTCCTTAAACTTTCAATATTTTGTTTGTTCGTATAGGCAATATAACACATTTTATGCCAAACAATTTTACCAGTTTTACCATCAACAATCACACTTTTTGTATGTCCTCATCTACCTCTTTGTTTATATCATTCCGAATCTTATTGTTAGTGGAATTCATAAAAGTAAAGGAAGTTTTATCCGTTGATTCGATTATAATACCTCCAATTTTTTTACATATTATACATTTTTTGCGTTTTTGCGTTTTGAATTTTACATGTAAGCCGATTTCGTTCTCAGAACTAGTACTATCAGTTGTAGAACGTTTCATTTCGTGCAGTGCTAAATTCTGATAAAAAATCTATAATTGGAATGTGGAATTCCCTACAGTTAACTAAAGTAAAATTTCTCACTTAGATTATCCTTGTTTACAACACTAAACGCCAACCACTATGTGTTTCAGTTTTTTAAAAAGTGAAAAATTAAGATTTTAACCAGGTTAGGTACTGAACTCGTTATATGCATTCACCCACAAAACTATATTTTTGAAAATATAAACACATACGAAAACCGCTACAAAAAGGCACACCTAAAATTCCGGTAAGATAAGAAATATTAAAATAAAATGTAATACAGTACGAGATGGAGCTATGAAGATTTGTGAGACAGATTCAACTTTGGCGAAGTGGGGAAGCGAAGTAGCCAGCCGTCCGCCGGCCGGTCGAAAATGATTTATTTTGTATTTTTATTCATATATTGTTTATTATTGAAGCAAAAATTTTGAATTAAACGCTGTTGTCTTTCAAATTGATGAAATAAACTTTTTGCTAGAGTAAAATTTTTCGATTAAGGCCTCCGTTTTCCGGTAAATGGCATGGGAACTAAAAAAATGTTGAATTTAAGTAAGATTTTCGACGTGTTCGAAGCGAGATATTCCAGTTTAAAAATTTATTCTGCCATAAGACTCAACGTTAAGAGCAACTTTCAAAAATTAATAAAAAATATATGCTGTACAAAATATAAGTTGATTTTTATATAGAATTATAGCCAATGTGCTGTATTATCCGCCCGTGGTCATAACTCGTTTTTTGATTTTACTGCCCTTCTGCCCGCGTTATTTTTTTATTACCTTCGGTTTCCGATTCAGTAAGATATAAGCTTCAATTTTATATATAATTCAGCTTGTAACCCCGCGACGCCCACAGAAGTGAAAATAAATTAAAGCGGGCACTCTACTATGATACTGTAAGGGATAAAATTAAATGTTAGAAGCGTAGAAGTCTGTGAAAGAAGATATAAATTTTAATGTCTATGTTTAATTATTGTTTTTCGATGAAAACGAGAGTGAATACGAGATTTCGGATCCATGTGTCCTTACAGCAACGCAGATGAGCTAACTTAGTGGACCTAGTATATATTTTGTGATTACATTTAAAAATATATTACATCTGTAATAAATGCTCAATTTTCTACGAATCACTTGTCTCTTTATATTATTTCTCCTTCGCCCCAAATTTTCTGAATAAAGAATTAAAATTATGGACCATAATTCAATTTTCTCAAAGATATCAAACATACCTTTTTTGTAAATAATATTCTACAATTTTGATTATTTGCATGTTTGTGAGATTCTCAGTACTTTTCAAGTTATTCGAAATACGTTTTTCGCAATTTTCTGGTCATTTCCCGAATTTTCCCAGTCCGCTCCCGTACAGAACAATTTTTTTTCCTCATCTATTCACAAAAAACTAGCCACAAGCAAAAAATTGTGCACCTCGAAATTTAATGCCATCTTTAAATACAATTTTACTATTGGACTAAGATATATTTTCCTGAAATAAATATAAAGGAATATGAAAATAACAAATTTTAATACAATGTAATAAAGTATTCTTTCGAATTTTTTATTTTTACTTAAAAAACTTAATTGTTCTAAGAAAAGAATACGGCTTACTTTCTACACTCAATTTTTTCCAGAAAGTTTGGACCTTTAAGTACATACCTGACAAGTGTCACCTGTATTATATTTTGCACATAATTGTGTATCACTTATATTTCTTGGTTCAATGAGTCTAGTTGAATAGTAATCATCACATTCATTATTGGATACTGAAACCAAATCGGCTTCCATCAATGCGTTACTAAAGCTACTTGAGTTACCTATAAAAAAATAATCAATAAATAAACAACAATAATGTAAATATCAGAATGTTACACACATATCTTTTATAAAATTGGATAAAAATAAATAGAAACCGTATAAACCGAATTTCTATTGTAAAATCCGAATAATTACAATATAATTCGAATATGTGGATTTAAGGAGATAAATATGGGTGTATATAGGTCCCAAGTAATAATACAAATTAAGAGAGACAAGTCATCTACTAGTCTACTACAATAAAATATTATCCTATAGAGTAAGATAGCTGCCTCAAGCAATAGCGCCAAAATGTAAAAAGTATAAGTAAAAACGTAGTGAAAAATTTTGTTAAGTGCAACAAATGTTCATTAGTTGTGCAAAAACGCCTAAAAACATTTAGGAGCATCGGTTGCGGGAGAGCCTATACTTATCGTGTTAAATAATAATTGATGTCAATACAAATAAAAGTATTATTTATTAGTAGAAAGTAAGTAGATTGAGATCCTTGCTTGTAGATATTAAATAAAATCGAGTTTAAAATGCTTTTAATTATATATTTCAATTTCTCTATTATTATTTTTTACCCAATATGCATAAATAAATACTACGAATTGCAACTGAAACTTGACAAAAGCGCAGGAGTATGCCGAGTTCATTATTTGTAAGTTGGCAGTCCTTGTGATGTATATAGGTATACATAATACTATGCTATCGCTCGCACAGCTGATTGCTTTAACCTCTAAAATGTGGGATGAAGAACAGAGTCAATAGAAAGGAAAATCTGTTGGCAAAAGAAAGTATGAGTGCTTGAAAATTAGAACAGAAAACATAAAAAGAGGGAAAAAAAGCTGAAGAAAATATAAATATGTAGTATTATACTGTGATACAATGTTAATGCAGCCAAAAGTATTCTAAAAAATATACTGAAATTATTGAAATATTAATTTTAAAATAAAAAATATTTAAATTGTCACAATTTATCATAATGCATTAGATTGTTATTTGATGCAAAGTATAAATATTTCATTGTTTGTATGCTGCTGATTTTTTTTACTTCTTGTATTGAAAGCTTATCGTACTTTATCAATAAAAAAAAATTCAAAAAACTTCATTTGAAAATTTCCCATTTTATTTTATAGGTCAGCAAAAAGAGCTGAGAAATTACCATTTCGCGGCTTTTTTTCAGTTCATTTGCACAAGAAAATAGTAAAGTACTTTTTTTCGTCCTTAAAAGACATACAAAACTAGCTCCCGAGCGTCAAAAAAATATTGATTAGATCAAAAGTTATAAACAGAAGAAGTTTATTTATGACTTTTAAATTAAACATTTATAAACTTCGTTATTATTACCAGGACGTTTTGGCATCGCAGATTAGACAACGAGCAAACAATTAAAATCTAGTAGTGTAGGTAAGTAGTAAAATTTTAACGATGTAACGAGTAGCTCAGTTTTCCTAGATTTCATTTTCACAGATAGATCAATTATTTTAGTAAGTAACTTTATAAAATCTAATATAATGAACGTTACGTAATTTTCTGAGATGAGATCACAATAATTATTAAAGTATTTGAGAATGCTAACAAACAAGTCTTATATTTATGTCNCGCACTGATTGTTTTCATGGTAGATTTCATAATAATACATTGAAATCTATCATTTTTTTTAATTTGTTTGCAACCTGGAAAGTTTTTTTATTTTTTAGCCTTAGTTGCAAAATGAAATATACGACGCATGCGCGTGATATAGTTATATATTACTACATATTCGGAAAGTTTATGAAAAGAGCTTTAAGTTAAAAAAAATCGTCAAGATTCGTTGAAAAACAACGGAGTTACAGACGGAGTTATTAAACAGTGATAAGAAGTAAGAGGATGCGATGTCAAAACGTTCTGGTAATAATAACGCAGTTTATAAATGTTTAATTTAAAAGTCATAAATAAACTTCTTATGGTTATAACTTTTGATCTAATCAATATTTTTTTACGCTCGAGGGCTAGTTTTGTAGGTCTTTTGAAGACGAAAAAAAAGTAGGTACTTACTTTACTGTCTGTTTTCTCGTGGAAATGAATGGAAAAAGTTATAAGTGAAAAATGTGAATTTACGTAAAAGTTATACAATTAACCAGCCTGTAAACAATCTTCCCCCTATTTTTATGACTGTGGAAACTAATATGCAGCAATGCGCACTCTGCCCATTCTTACTACGCAAGCGTTTAAATCGTGTAATTTAATTTTAAATTACCCTCCGATCCCTCCGAGTCAATCACTCCTCTTCATACTTTGCAATTTGTGCCCGTCCGTTAATGTTAGTTTTCCGCGATAAACCGCGTCGTCAGGTTTGAATTTCCTACCAATTTACCGCCAATTTGAATGCTGCGCTCTGATTGGTCGATCAAGCGGTGGGGCGTGGTCTAAAAGTGGAAGGGTGGGGGGGTGGCCAAACCGCCGCTATTCCTACTATTAACAATTACAGTTAGAGAGAAAAGAGGCGTAGGTGATTTTTTTTTTAATTACCGTAAAAATAAGCTCTATTTAATGCAAAAAGAGCAATTTCCGTAGCGGCTTTTGCCTGACCCTGAGAAATTTTGTTTATAACTGTTTTGCAAGTCTTACTTTCTTAGTTGTAAAGGACAACTTAATTTCAACTTTTTGAAATTTTTCTTTTTCGATACGTTTCTATGAATGAATTGGAACCTATATCTACGATATTAACTTCTAAAATTAACGTTTGGTAATTAAACAATTAGTTGCAAAAAAACGAACGAAATTAAATAACAAACAGCTGGAGCAACAATTTCACGCTCAATCGAATCGACCTTTAACATACATGTTGATCTTTTGATTGATGATTTTTTACATAAACTTCATCAACATCCATCGTTTTTTGCAATGATAATGCGCAATTCTCGAAAATAGATTTTTCCGCGTTCGACCTTTATTTTACAGTTAACAAATAGGTGAAGAGTTCAGGTTCCTTACTCGATTTACTCGCCTACAACATAAAACAATTAATTCTCCAATATGTCGTCTAAATTTTCATGGACAGTAAAAAAGTGAAAAAACACGTAATTCTGCAATTTATTTGCAATTTGCCGAAGGGATTGCAATCCGGCGTTATTTTCAATCCGGCCGGATCCAACCGAATTCCCATCGATCCGGCCGGATCGGACCGGATCCGGCCGGATTGATCAAATCAGGATGATTTTCACTTTTCGGTTCAAAATGAACTGTTAGTAAGTTAATCAAGTGTCATTGTACGTAATATAGGTAGTTTATAAAAAATAAAACATATATATAAAATCAACTTTATTTCCAATTCAATCCAATGTTAAGATTAGACAACGAGCAAACAATTAAAATCTAGTAGTGTAGGTAAGTAGTAAAATTTTAACGATGTAACGAGTAGCTCAGTCTTCCTAGATTTCATTTTCACAGATAGATCAATTATTTTAGTAAGTAACTTTATAAAATCTAATATAATGAACGTTACGTAATTTTCTGAGATGAGATCACAATAATTATTAAAGTATTTGAGAATGCTAACAAACAAGTCTTATATTTATGACAGACACCATCATGATTTGATGAATCTATCTCATGAATGGCACAATTATCACAATAATGAGTTTGTATTATCATTACAACTCTTTAGTTTAATCAACTTACGATAAATAATTATTTTAAGTAGAATTTTAAGTAATAATTGTCTTAGTATTCATTATACAGGGTGGTCCGAATTTTATGCAGGAAACTTCGAGGGCAGATAGATCTCTTTAAAATAATAGGTGTTTGCCTTATAAGACAAAATATGTGTTTTT